TACACATACACAGACACCACATACATATCACCTTTGATGACATTTATAGATAGCTAGATATCTCTTCTCTGATAGTCTTATATCTACTAGCACATTATCTGGGAGGTATCCACACTACCAGAGTTTCAAACAACTTAGAATCAAAGTGATGGTTGTGATTAATTAGGATAGGCTGTAGTTTGTCACCAAAATGTTACTTTAAATCTTTCTACCATTTGATCTCTTAGAAACTTAAATTGCCCAATTCCCTTTTCTTATCTGAAATCAGGATAAAGTTGTGACTCCTACATGAATTTATCAGTTTATTGGCCATTTTTAGTTTTCTATACATTTAGCAGAGCCTGTTACATATGATGCCCAAATAAAAATATCTACAGCACAGTCCTTTTCACTCTCCTTTAGACCCTTTCTTCTGCTTTAAATAGGGCTTGTGTTCAGTTTCATACTTACTCTTTCAATACATCAGTTAATATTTAACTATATAAATAAACATACACAGACATCTATATGTGTGTACATGTTATATATACAGCCAAGCTCATTAATTCATATCTAGTGTGTTCTATAAATTTACCACTGACACTGACAGTGAATATTGAACCATTGTTTGAGGGAAAATAAGATTGAAGGACTCCAGCAAGTTTCCAGTCATATTTTTGTTAACTGAAAAATTTAAAGCCTTATTTTATGTGTGTTACTGTTTAAAGATACCGTATTTGATACATACCTTTAATTCATTAATATCCAAATAACAAACAACTATAGTGTAGCTCCTACCTGAAGAAAGTTTATCCAGTACACTTCTCTGTGGGATACATCCCAGCCTTCTTGCACAGAACACAAGGTAGCACTTAAGCACCAAACCTGGGACTTTTTTACTAGAAAAATCTCCAACAGAAAGGACAAAATATGAAAAGCATACCACCAAACAAACCAGGACTAGGACACTTGCATACACCATCCAGGAAGGGATGAGCTGACACCATCCCACAGTTCGGCTTTAGTCTGTGAGACCTATTGTTCCACCTTTCTGCCTATGCCTGTGGGTGACTGTAAAACCTCTACATGTATTGATTTGGTGTTTGTGGGTGGATCTTAGCCAAGTAGGAAAGTTCACAAGTACCGTGAATGATGGGGACCAACTTCATTTATCTCCATTTGTATTAGTTATTTTTACATTACTGTAATAAAATATCTGAAAGAAATAACTTGTGGGAGAAAAAATTTATTTTGACTAAAGTTTTCAGAGATTTTTCAATTCAGAATGGTGGGGAAGGTGTGTCATAGTTCATGAATGGCACTGCATGTCACAGTGCTCACTCACTCTCTGTCTTGCTCATCTTCTTTTTTTCCTCCTTTCTTCTCTCCTCTCTCCCTCTTTTAGTTATTTTTTAAAGAGGTATTGCTACAAAGCACTGGATTACCTGGTACTGATCTTGAACTCATGGCAATCCTGTTACCTCTGTTTCCTGAATGCTAAGATTACAGATATGTACTAATACACCCAGCTTAGAATTTCCTTTATTACTGTGGGAGGGGAAGCAAAGAGCTTCCAGAAATCAGGGCACTATGACCTTAAAAGGCTTTCCTTATTGGCCCACTTCTGTCAAATAGGCATCACCCACCGACAGTTCCATAGCCTCCCTCCAAACTACTGGAGAAGAAGCATTTAAAATATGAGCCTTGAGGGACATTCAGCTTCTAACCATAAGCATCCAGTGAAATGCTTATCTGGAGGAATGGCAGCATATTTGAAGAGTAGTCTTGATTAGAAAACAGAGAACATCCACAGGACAACATGTAGGTGATTTCAAACAGTCCATATACCTTAGTGTTCAGAGTCAGGAGACAATGCTAAACTCAGATATGATGTAGAAGAAAGGGCTGAAAGAAAGCTAAATAGCTATAGATGACAGTAATTCTTTAAAAAGAAAAATTTAAACATTTGAGAAATGACTGTGGAAAGTAGAACCCATCATTAAACCTTCCAAAGTATAATTTTCAGAACCAGTGGGACATTAGCTTAGACAACATTTGATGCCTTTCTCTTAACTTAGAGTTACGGAAGGTAATAGGGACGATTATGGCAGGTCTTGAAGTCATTAAGCAAAGAAGTTGAACTGTATACTATAGGCAGTGAAGCTACTACATAGAGATTATGAAATATTCATAAAACAGGAAATGAAGATGTTGATGATTTTTGAAATACTAGTTTAGGAAAACCATGCAAGTGAATTAACAAGAGATCTTCAGAGGCTGGATTTCAAAACTATTGGAAAAGTGCAGGTTCAAGGTCATGTGATCAAAAATGTGGGAGTGTCATTGGTAGCAATAAAAGCAAGAAAACAAGTGATGAGGAAGCATTAAAAAATAGAGAAATGATGAATTATTCATAACTGTATATGAGATGCAAAGAACTTAAGAGAATCTGTGTACCTAGGTGGAAAGCAAGAAGACAGAAAAGTATACCATTAGAGAAAAGTGGATGGGAGTGAGCTGATTCTGTTGAGAGAGTGATTGGTGAATGCAGAGTCTTAAGTTCAGATTGAAAACAGCGGAGTGCAAAGGTTGTGTGTAGAAAATGCAAAAGAATCTCTGGGGTAGAGAGCTTGCATGTATCTGATATCAGTAAAGAATAATGGGAATTGTGGGTTTGAAGCCTAGAGGGAAAGAATGCACAAAGGAAAAAGACCATAAACTAATTTGTGTGTGTAGTACCCATGGATGCCAGAAGAAAGTGGAATATCCCCTTGAGCTAGACTTACAGTTATGAGCTGCCATGTTGGTGCTGAGAACCTAACCTGGGTCCTTTGCAAGAACAGTAGGCACTCTTAACTTGGAGTCATCACCTCAGTCTCAACATAAGTAACTATTCAAAAGGCAATGTTTATATTAAACAACTGAGTTCTACATATAATGTTGGATATTACAGCCATACCAATAGTCAGGAACATCCTATACTTTACAAGCTGATAATTATATTAATTAACACATTTATGTAGCAGAGAAATCTCAAAATCTCAGTCTCACAACAAAAAGAAACTCATCTCTCCATGTGAACTCCCTGATGATTTCTTTCATTGTGTGTTTATCTATTTATTTTGTGTGTGTGCATATGTATATGTGTTGGTGTGCTTCCATGCCACAGTGCACGTGCATAGGTCCAAGAGGACCTCATGGGATTTAGGGTCTCTTCTTCT